TTTCAACAACTAGCTTGCAACTTCAAAAATTCACAACTAATTTATTTTATATCTAAATTACATGAAACCAAAACTAAATGAAAGCTAATTTAGTATATTTTCATATTCTATATTTAATTTGATAAGATTAATTTCAAGTTAAAACAGTTTAAGGGAAAAATACAAGTCATTCACTTCCATGTATGTAAAACACTCAATAATGACATAAAAATACTTCAAAATAATAGATCAATACCTCACTAGAGAATTGAATCTCTAGATACTAAAGCGAAACTAGGAATTAGGCTAGATCCTTTAAGTGTTTTGAAGAGGAGGATGAGGGGAACAAAAAGTATTCCAAACTTTATGGTCTAAAGTAAGTGGAAGTGCCTCAAAGATCAAGGTCAATGCCTAAGGCTTCAAGCTCCATCCATGGAGGCTAGGGTTTTCTTGTAAGGAAGAGAATGAAATAATGTGGTTAAGTATGAGTGGAGGAAATGGAAATCCTCCACTCACTATGTGCTCTTACACCATGGTCAGCACACACATCTATGGTCAATTGCACAAAAACCCTCCTTTAAAACCATAATCCCAAAGTGGCCCAAAGATATTTGCAAGACTAAATTGTGAACCTACACTTGTCACCAATCTATGGCTCCTTCCTAGGCTTAATCCCACACCTACACTTGTCAACCATCCAAGCCAACAAGTGCACCAATCCTATGCCAACAAGTGGGTGAATCCTCACCCTCCAAATGTCATCATCCAATGCATTAAAATGTTTCTACACAAATGTCAACAAGTGGACCAATGAGAGTGGGACACTTGTCACACTTTTCAAAAATTGTAAAAAGGTCCTTTTTAAAAATATCTTCTAAATTTAATTGCAAAGTGGTCCCCAAGATGAAAAATATTTACTTTATTTAATTACACTAAAACCCCACAAGTTAAGAATAATTACACTAAAGTATGCATTAATGCCCCTTTATGAAAGAAGTAAGCAATCAACATGCTTTTCTAGAAAAGTAAAAATACCACTATCATGGAAATCAAATATCATGAATGCATTCAAAACCGGAATCAAATCCGAGCACAAAAAGTGAGGTTGTGCAAGGAAAAAGGATAAACGAGAAAAAGACAAAATGTGAATAGTGTTCGGAAAAATAAAATTTGGAAATGACACAATCTCCAAAGGAAGTTGTCAATCTAAGGAAAAGAGTCTCGGAAATCATTCCAGAGCACTCGAGACGACATCAAGTGATGAAAAATCGAACCCAAAAAGGAAAAGACAACGGAAAAAAAATATCCCTTAAAATCTGATAAAAAGAAAAGGAAGAAAAATGACCGGGTCATTAGATTAACATAAACATAGTTATTTTCAAAAGATGTTTGTGGATGAAAATTGGCCAAACCTGAGGGGGTGTGAGTGAAATTAACCCTAATATATATATATGCAACTTCCGTATACAACATATCTATTATTTAATGAATTTGACGTTTACTTAATGGGCCCAGTTGATTGAAATTTGAACATTCCCCAAAAGAAAGAACTAAAATCCTAAAAAAAGAAAAGACCAAGATGCAGAACAGAAAAAGAACTACAGGAAACGTTGCAGATCAGAAGAAGAACAATTAAAAAATTCTTCTTTCAACCAAAAGGTAAATTTGTGAATCTTTCTCTTTGATACAAATAATCCTTCAACTTTTGATAAGATTTGAGGTTGAAGAAGAACAAATGATATACCAGTTAGAAGAAAGAACAAAATAATAAAGAAGACTTACCAAAGTTAGAATGATTTCTTTCCTAATATATATAAAAATAAATAAAAAAATAAAAAAATAAAAAGTAAAAAGATGTATTTTAATTTCATTCAAAAGGTAAAGTTGAATAGTATAATAATATATTCTGTATAATATATTACATTTAAATTTCATTCAAAAGGTAAAGTTGAATAGTATAATAATATATTCGATATAATATGTTATATAAAGTATTTCGTATAGAATGGTTTTCGTACATATGGTAAAACAAAGTATAGTTGAGTAAATTTATTTTTTTCATCTGCTGACTTGACGATGACAAGAATATGTTGGGGGAGATGTTCTTAATCACCACCGTCAGATGTTAACTGGACAAAGTCTAAAAATAAAATCATCTTCAGTCTTCCATCTTTAGTGAGATGGAAAAAGCTAGATAGGGATTTTTTTTCCTTTAGGCTAATTCTTTCTTCTTATTTATTTATTTATTTATTATTTTTCTTTCTACCAAACAATAAAATCATCTTCCATCTCCAACCAACCAAACATGGTATAAGTTTAACCATAAATGTATTTTGATACTCTGATCATTCAAGTTTGTGAATGGGAACAAATTAGTAAATCTAAAAAGAGATATCGCGGCACCCATTCTCGCATTCCCTCTTTCTTTCCCATCTGCCAAACAATGAAATCATGTGATCAATATTAATTCCATCTCCCACCAACCAATTACCAAACATCGCATCGGACTAGAATCCTCTCCTGTGGAATAATATAATCTGTTCCCTCCTGTTCGCACTTTTCAGGCACTGTAGCGGTGGTAAAAATGGGCAAACAGGACTTTGGGTAAAAAAAGGTATATACACACACAGATACATATACAAACAATACACAAAGACGAAATTATACATACACACAGATACGAAATTCCAGAAATTAAAACTCATGTTTAAGCGGGAAATTGGAAATTTTGGAACAGATTTAGCACCTCTTCTTCTGAGCTTCTTTCTTATTTCTTCTTCTTCTCTCCCAATTTTTCTTCCTTCTTTCCAAATTTACAATTTCTTTCCAAAGGTTTGGTTGAACGTCGGAGAAGAGGAATCTACAGTGACGAATCGCCTCTTGTAAATATGTAATTTTCTTTCTTCTTTTTCGCTCCTGATTTTTCTACTTTCTTTCAAAATTTACAATTTATTTCGAAAGGTTTGATTGAACATTGGAGAAGAGGAAGCTACAGTGACGAAGGTATAGCGCCTGTTCTTAATCTTCTTTCTTCTTCTCTCCCAAAATATAGAAAGAAATAAATTGGTCTTTCCTACATTGTCCCAGCTTTCCTTAATTTTGTTCTTTCCAAAATTACAATTTCTTTGGAAAGGTTTGATTGAACGGCGGGGAAGAGGAAGCTACAGTGGCGTGTGGTTGGTTTAAGGCTGAGGCAGACGAAGCTACAGTGTACTAGTTTTGTAAGTGAATTTGTGAATCGGATGACATTGTGTTTCATTAGTTTTGTTTGGTTATTCTTGATCTATTATTAAACTGTGAAAAATTGAATCAAAAATTATGAAAATTATATTAGTAAATTGTGCAAAAGTTGTGATATTCTGTATTATAAGTTATGTTTTAAACTTCCAATTTAAGATGTTAGAATAAAATTTTCATTGTATTCCTATAATGGCAGTGTTTTATTCGTAATACATAGTACAATATATTTGGGATATTCTGAATAATAAGAAATGGAGGTTTTACACTTCCAGTTTAATATGTTAGAATAAATTTTCCATTGTATGAAATGTAAGTTTCCATTGAGAGTTATGATTGTTCAGTATAAATAACTTAATATGGTTGTAATGTTTCTCAAAATAAGCCCAAGACCTTCCCATCATTTCCCACAAACTAATGCTCCCACATTTCATCATTGTGAGTTAGATAAGTGGGAAAAGTAAGGAAACAAATAAAAAATGAAGTAAAAAAAAAAAAAAACCTGTTGACTAAATTAGATATATAAAAGAGTGAAGGAGAACTAATGCAAATTCTTTTCACCACAACCTTCTATTGTTGTTGGTGGTAACACTGATTTGGATTTCAAAGCGCCTATCTTCTCATGTCAATTGACATTGATAGTTGACTTGTTCATATCCTTTTGACCATTTATTTCTATCTTCCTCTGTTTCTTCATGTTTGTGAAGAAGTGATCAGTGGGTTTTGAATTAAAGTCACTATATTTGTGTGTGTGTGTGTGTGAGAGAGAGAGAGAGAGAGAGATAGAGAGAGAGAATTGGTTCTCTGGGACTTGAAGTTGCAAAGAAGGCAATGCGGCTTTCTCCAAAGGTCATGGGTTTTAATCTTTCTGAGAGATGGGGGCACTATGCTTGCTACTCCAATGGATTTGTCTATGTCTTTGGGGTATGTATCTTTCTTTAAAATAAGAGAAATTAACTTGTAAGTTTATTTTTTTGCTTCTGATTATTCATTAATAATAATGCTATTTGGAGTGTATTTTCTTAGATCATGATGTTTGGATTCGTTCTCTTATTTTACTTAATTAACTCTGTTAGCTTTCATGATGTTCTCTTGTTATTCTTATTTTTAGTATTATTATTTTTAATTTTTATCTATTTAGTTTTCAGTTTTGGGTATAGTTATCTTTGGCTAATAACATGTTCATTTTCTACAAATGTTTTAGTTTTTTTTCCTATTCTTTGTTTAATATTTGATTCTTGTTGGTTTGTTTTTCTTTTAATTTGTCAAATTAGTTGGGATGTTTTTTGGTTACATGATTAGCTGCATCACACTGCTACTCTTGGTTTCTTGATATGGAAATGTTTTTTCAATTCTTATTGTTGTTTCTTCTTAGACCCCTAACTTAACATGGTTGTAATGTTTCTCAAAATAAGCCAAAAAAAGTTTGCAAGTCCATGTTTGATTTGGAAAAACTTAAATGAATAATTGAGTATAGTTGTAATTTTTATGAAAATAGGAGGCCCAAAAAGGTTGGAAGTGCATGTTTGAGTTGGAAAAAGTGAAATAAATCATTTATTTTGTGATTCGTAACAAAATTATGATGAGTGCAGTTGAGGAAGTTGGTTCCCTAATACATTATACTATCTTGAATTATGTTAATAGGTCAAAAAATATTTCCAATTAATAATTCATACCTGCAACACAGCCCTTCGTTGAAATGATTTTTTTTTTTATTTTTTTTTTTATTTTTATTTATTTTTATTTTTTTTTTCTATTGTAGGTTTTTGATTTGAATTATTGGAATGGAAGAGGTATTAAATGACATCGAAGACACCACATATACAGAAAACCCTCCTACTGCAGGGGCAGATGTCGTAGAATGGAAACCAAGAATAGGAATGAAGTTTGAAATTGAGGAAAAGGCATATGATTTCTATAATTCATATGCTGGTCGAGTCGGTTTTAGCATCCGCAAAGAGTATTTTAATAAGAGCAAGAAGACTGGTAAACTGTCATCGAGATTGTTAACATGCTGCAAGGAGGGTTTCAGGGGTGACGACATTCTGGACAGTAATACAAAGACTCCCAGGACCGAAACACGAACTGGTTGCCTTACTCGAATGCTTATACAAGTTTCCAAGTATACGCATAAGTTTGAAGTTACAGAATTTGTTAAAAGCCGCAACCATCCATTGATGATTGATAAATGCATGCACATGCTGCCGTCGCAACGTAGAATTAGCCGTGTTCAGGCCATTGATTTGGAATTGGCTTCTGATTCAGGAATAAGCCCTCGCAATTCATATGAGTTGATGGAAAGGCAAGCTAGTGGAAAAGAATTAGTCGGGTACATGAAGTTGGATTTGCTAAACCATATAAGGACTCGAAGACATACTAAGCTCAAATATGAAGAAGCAGCATGGCTAATGAATTATTTTAAAACTTTGTCTTGTGAAGATCCATCTTTCTTTTATGCATTCCAATTGGATAGTGATCAAATGATCACTAACATATTCTGGGCTGATTCAAAAATGATAGTTGATTATTGCAATTTTGGAGATGTTGTAAGTTTTGACACAACATACAAAGTTGTACATGTCAATCATCCATTTGGAAGTTTCTTGGGGTTGAATCATCACTGGGAGACCGCTGTGTTTGGAGCAGCGTTCATGTATGAAGAGACTGCAGAGTCGTTTATCTGGTTGTTTGAAACATTTTTGAAAGCAATGTTCGATAAAGCGCCAAAGACGATCTTCACTGATCAAGATGCTGCAATGGGAAAGGCATTGACGCAGGTGATTTCAATTCAGATCTTCACTCATTCCATTTCCTTTTGCATTATTATGTAGTTATATTACAGAAAATAATTCTGTAGGAGATGCTAGGGACAAAACATTATTTATGTGTTTGGCACCTAATGTAAAATGCACAGAAGCATCTAGGGTTGTTGTTTAGACGTGCGCAAGGCTTTAAGAAGGTGTTATCAAAATTAATGTTTGAAATTGAGGAGGAGGAAGAATTTACCAGGGAATGGAATTTAATGATAACGGAATATGGTGTTGTTGGTAACACATGGCTTACAAATCTATTAGGTTTGAAACATAGATGGGCCATGGCATTTATTAAACATGCCTGGTCCGCGGGTATCCACAGCACACAACTGAGTGAAAGTTTCAATGGTTGTTTGAAAGCATACTTATCCAAGCAACTAATTCTTCCAGATTTCTTCACACACTTTGAAAGGCTGTTGTCCAACAAGCGTTACAAGGAGTATGTAGCCGAGTACGGGTTGCTCCACAATCTACCTCAACTGAAAACAAACTATAACATATTAGTAGAGGCGGCAAACCTGTACACAAAGGTTATATTTAATAGTTTCCAGGAGGAGTTCTTAGCAGCTAGTGCCATTCAGAGGATCATTGGTTGCAGTCCCATCGAGGGAAACAGAGGCTGTGTTTACAAAGTCGTTGGTGAGGATGGAATGCAACGCAACATAACGAGGACATCAGAAGATGAATTATTACGTTCTTGTTGTAAATTTGAAAGGGAGGGTATTATGTGCAAGCATAGTTTGAAAATCCTAAAGGACTCCATATTCACCAATACATTGCCTTGTCGATATATATTAAGAAGGTGGACTAGAAGTGCAAGAGATGACAGCTTGGAGGAAAATCTTTCCGGTGAAGTGATTGTCGATGCTGATCCAAAAATTGAGGTTAGGAGATGGCACAGAGTACTTTGTCGTATTCTGACTGAAATTTCGTCCATTCTATCAGAGGATAAGGACGGATACAATGATTTGTTGGTGAAAGCCATGAAGTGGAAAAAAATTACTCAATCAACTTGTAAGCGTAGGTTTGCAGAGAGGAATCCAATTTATACTGCTGGTAAAGGCAAAAACCAATATCACGAGACCAACATAAATACTGACAAATTCCCCAATGGCCTTAAGTGTAAAGATACATGGAAAGGAAAATTTAAGAGGTTAAAACCGACCATGGACCTAAAGAGTCGCAATAAGACAAAATCACTAAAACGAATAGTTCGGCTTCAGTTATTTTTATCCCATTACTGTTTTCCAAGTACTTTCATAAGTAATACCACTTCTGTGTATTAAATTATGCATACGTAATACTTCTCATAATTGTGTTGTAGAATAGCAATGAAACCCTTCAATCTGGAGAGGCAGGTGCTAGTACTTATAGTGGAACAATCCCCTACCACGTGTTGGTGAATGTGAGTATTGTTGCATAACTATTTACAGCACATTGCTTAACATTTGTTTTGTTTTTTTGTTTTCCCCCTAAATGATTGGAATGTATTGAATATAAAAAAATATTACATGGAGAGAAATGATGGCATACCCTTATTTAAACAAAACATCGTCCTATAAATGTTTCTCTTTCAAACACATAAACTACTAAGCAATAGAAAGTTAGAAAATGTCTTGGAGATGAAGTCCCATCACATCTAAAACGTCCCATAAAATACATTTACCAAGATCCTTAGCTGCTCTTGCAATCTTATCATGCAATCTGTTTGAAGTTGTTTATAACATAGGTAACACGTTACTGCCAATGCAAAGGGTCCTTGTTGGAAGAATTCTTGAGTAATAACTAATAACTGCAATTTGCATAACTAAGACTGAATGAATAGACCATCTAGGTCTACCCCCACACCAACATAAGCCCGCCCAGTCCACGTCTTCAATTTTCTGTCTGGCAGCTTCCCATGCTGCTTAACATGTTCATTATGGTTACAAGTTATTCTCTGGTCAAATGTTTTACAACATTTATTTTGTAGGGCTGTGAAATTCCAGTTGAATTTGTCAATGAAGAAAATTATGTGACGCCACCACAATGTGTAATGCATCACATAAGGTTTTCGCAACTGCCTGCTGAACTAAGTATTCTATTAACTAACCAGGCAAGTTTTGCTGTTACGATGGAACCAACATATAAATTGCAATTTACAAAGTTGCATAATTATTTAATTGATTGTTTATAATATATAAGGAAATATATAAAATGTTGCAGACCTTTGTCGCCGATTCATGCAATTCCAATACCAATTATTCACATGATGATTGCTTCAGTGAAGGTTTCAGAATTGATATGGTATATAGTTGTCCTCATCAACTCAATTCGTACCACTATATTATTTTTTCAATTTTTTTTCTGTGTTGTCATGGTATCTAATTTGATTGCATTTTGTGGTATGATCATATTGAAAGATTGCAGATTTAAACAATTGCGAATCGAGTGTTAGGCGAACGTCCGAAATGCTAATCGCGGAGATGGACCGACCAATTCAACGACTCTTTCATACTTGACAATCATTACATTATGCATTTCACATTATTTTTATAATGTTGTTTATTTAACTCTGCTTAATTGTTGTTGCCTTTTATAACAATTTCGGAGGGTTGGGGAAATTTGTATAAGTTTCTGTATTTTGAAAATGCATAATAAGTGGTTTTGATCATTTATTATGAAATTGAGCATACTGTTGACATATGAGTGTAACTCAAGTATTTTAATTGAGGCAAATGCATTGAAAATATTTGCAAGGGCCAAATTAATACAATAAAAATGCAACAACATTGTGATCCATATGCAACTACATATGTAGTAGTTATCCTAATACTTATATACGTATATTCGTTATAATTCATAGGAAACATTGTAATAAATTTGTCAAATACAATTTACAATTTCGAAGGCCAAAGGAAACTCATCCAAATATAACTCTCAGCTGATCATTTATGCAAATATATATTTTTTATTTATCATTAGATTTTTATAGATAATATCTTTAGTAGTTTATACAAAACATCCCAGTAAATTTGTAACATAAATTCCAAGGCCCAAAGGAAAATATCTAAATATAACTCTCGATTGATCCATTTATGCAAATACATATGTAAAATTTATTCTCATATTTTTATATCTAATATCCTTAATACTTTATTAAGCATCCCAATAAATTTGTAAGACAATTTCCAAAGCGCAAAGGAAAATCATCCGAATATAACTCTCAACTGATCTATTTATGCAAATATCGATGCTTTATTTATCATTACATTTTTATGTTAATCTCCTTACCAGTTTATAGAAAAAATCCCAATAAATTTGTATGACCATTTCCAAGGCCCAAGTGAAAATCATCCAAATATAACTCCCAACTGATCCACTTATGCAAATATAGATGTCTAATTTATCCTCATATTTTTATATATAATCTCCTCACAAGTTTATAAAAAATATCCCAATAGATTTGTAAGACCATTCTGGAGGTCCAAAGGAAAATCATCCAAATATAACTCCCAACTGTTCCATTTATGCAAATATAGATGTTTTATTTATTCTAATATGTTTATATATTATCTCCTTACAAGTTTATACAAAACATCCCAATAAATTTGTAAGACCTTTTCGAAGGCCCAAAGGAAAATATCCAAATATAACTCCCAACTTATCCATTTATGTAAATACAGATGTTTTGTTTATCCTCATATTTTTATATATAATCTCTTTAAAAATTTATATAAAACATCCTAATAAATTTGTAAGACAATTTTCAAGGCCCAAAGGAAAATCATCCTTATAACTCCCAACTGATACATTTTATGCAAATATAGATGTCATATTTATCCTTGTATTTTTATAAATAATATCGTTACGAGTTTATGGAAACTTCCCAATAAATTTGTAAGACCATTTCCAAGGCCTAAAGGAAAATCATCCTTATATGTAACTCCCAACTGATCCATTTATACAAATATATATGTTCTATTTATTCTAATATTTTTATATATGTTATAGAAAATATCCTAATAAATTTGTAAGACCATTTCCAAGGCCCAAAGGAAAATTATCCTTATATGTAACTCCCAACTGATCCATTAATGCAAATATAGTTCTAAGATTTATCATTAGATTTTTATAACTAATATCCTTACTAGTTTATAGAAAACATCCCAATAAATTTGTAAGACCATTTCCAAACCTCAAAGGAAAATCATCCGAATATAACTCAACTTATCTATTTATCAAATATATATGTTATAGTTATCGTAGTATTTTTATAGTTAATATTGTCACAAATTTATAGAAAATATCCTAATAAATTTGTGAGACGATTACCAAGGCCCAAAGGAAAATCATCATTATATGTTACTCCCAACTGATCAATTTATGCAAATATAGATGTCTTATTTATCCTATATTTTTATAAATAATCTCGTTACGAGTTTATAGAAAATATCCCAATAAATTTGTAAAACCATTTCCAAGGCCCAAAGGAAAATCATCCGAATAGAACTCCCAACTGATCCATTAATGCAAATATATATATTCTATTTATTGTAGTGTTTTTATAAATAATATCGTCACGAATTTATAAAAAATATCCCAAGGATGTCTTATTTATCCTTATATTTTTATAAATAATATCGTTACTAGTTTATAGAAAACATCCAAAGAAATTTGCAAGACCATTTCCAAGGCCCAAAGGAAAATCATCCGAATATAACTAACTGATCATTTATGCAAATATATATGTTCTATTTATCCTAGTATTTTCATAAATAATATCATCACGAATGTATAGAAAATATCCCAATAAATTGGTAAGACGATTTCTAAGGCCCAAATGAAAATCATCCTTATATGTAACTCCCAACTGATCAATTTATGTAAATATAGATGTCTTATTTATCCTCATATTTTTATAAAGAATATCGTTATGAGTTTATAGAAAAATCCTAATAAATTTGTAATACCATTTCTAAGGCGCAAAGGAAAATCATCCGAATAGAATTCTCAACTGATCCATTTATGTAAATATATATGTTCTATTTATCGTAATATTTTGATAGATAATATCGTCACAAATTTATTCAAAATATCCTAAGAAATTTGTAAGACGATTTCCAAGGCCCAAAGGAAAATCATTCTTATATATGTCTTATTTATCCTTATATATTTATAAATAATATCCTTACTAATTTATCGAAAAAATCCCAATAAATTTGTAAGACCATTTCCAAAGCCCAAATTGATGACATCAGCACACTACATTTATTGCCATGTCATCATTGTAGTGTGATGGTGAAGCTTCCAAATTAGCTTCCAAACGAAACTTTAAAATTATTGGGCAACAACAATTATTTTTACCCTGCCACTGCTATTTGCCTTCTAAAAGAAGTTTTTTAATATACTTGGACACCAAGTATATAGATTTTCCCAATAAATAGCCTTGCAGTCAGTCCATGAAATGAACATGAGAGCAAGAGACAATATTTATGCAGATTAAGAGAGTAGATCGGTTTTGTGTGTGTTAGAAAATCCTTTTGTGTGTGCAATTTTCAAGTGTCACTTGAAACTTGTGTTTGGGTGGGTTTTTTTTTATATTTATGTAAACCATATACTATTTCGGTATTTCATCTAATTATTTTTATTCTATTTATTTTTCGTCTTTATATTTTTTTTATTTATATTTTTTATGCTAATTATTTATATGCAAATTCTTTGTCTTACGTTTTTGTTCTATTCTTCGCATGAATGGAACCAGTTTCCTTCTAACCTGGTTTGTACCTAGTTGTGTGGACTGAACAATATGTAACGTCATATTGTTTTGTACGCAAAACTGTGGTGACTGTCAAACTTCAAAACTGTGGTGACTGTTAAACTTCAATGCATACTTAAATTCAACTGACCTTCTCATTTATTGCATTTAATAAACCTCCTCCCTCCATGCTGTTGATATTTTAAATTATACTTACTCTTCTCACACCAAATATATTCGGAGTATATATAATATGTGGTCCACAGTCACCTAGTTTTCCCTATAAATAGCACGAACTCGACTAAAACCAGCAGGCAACCAAAAATGTCATCAAAATTGCAGGCCCAAAGTAGTTCTAGCTCATGCGCTCCCCGGAGAGGAAGAAGAGTGAACCCTCCTCCTCCACCTCCTCCTCTAGTGAACCCTCCTCATCCTCCTCCTCCTCCAGCACCCCATCATTTTGCCCCTAATCCAAAGTATTTACTGATGAGGGTCAATAACCTATCTATTGAACTGAATCAGGTGTGGCGGTTATGCCGCGCCATGAGAAGAAGGATCCACCGCCTAGAGAGGGATTTCCAGGATGATTCGGACTCTGCTATAGTAGAGGTGCTGGGGGAACCAAGTGACTCATAGTTCTGTGGTTGTTCTGTTGTTCTCTCATGGTGCTCTCTGTGTGTCATTTTTTCAGCTGTCTAAGTATGTATTGGGATGTTCCATGTCTACTATATCCTAACTTTTGGTCTTTCTGTAAAAACTAGGTGGTCTCGGGTTATGGGGGAGATGGTTGGTCGTTTTATTAGGCTCTCTGGTCCTTTGCCTTAGGTTGTTTTGTAGTTCTTCGAATATGAAAAAAATAAATCCGCAGTAATGGTTAACTTACATATATATGAAGTGTTAACTCTTTCATTATGTGTGATAGTTTCTCTTTAATTATATGTGATACTTTCAGAACATGAATTGTGTGATACTTTTAGAATAACAGAATTACGCAGGTTCTTATTTTCTGAATTGTGTGAATTATGATATGTTATTTAGATGACAGACAATTAATTAAGTATAATGAGTAATGAATTGCTGTCAGTGTGACAGTTTTCATTTAAAGGTTGGAAAAAAGATATATTCTTAAAATACATGCATGCATGAAGCAAAGAAATAACACTGTGTACAATTAATTGCGAATCAACTGGGTAATGAATTTCTGTCAGTTACCATATAATGGATTACATATATGGCGGCTACCATTTTAAGTTTCCAAGATGGAGGAAAGGTTACCATTTAAAGGGAGGGTTACCATTTCAAGGAAGGGTTACATATTTAGACGGTTAGTGTAAGAGGCTCTCATACCAATTTGTAGGAGGCACTCAATATAAAGAATAAAACTTACACACAAATAACAAGACAATAAATAAAACATTAAGTTTAACACAATTTTTTCATCTACCAATGAGATAGTGCATGTATTCCACACATGAGTTGGAAACCAAAATTTCACACTTGAGTTGCTTTAAGAATTCAACCCTTGATATTTCCAACATTTGGTTTAATCTTCCAACAGTTAGATTTAACTTGTATTTAAATCGGACTCCTCTTGTTCAAAAAAGAAATTATTTTGAACAAATCTTATAGAGATTAAGCTGTAAGGTACGATTCATGACGTGGTTGGCCGAATTGATGCCATATGTTTCAAGTATGAGTGGTGAGTTATTTGTAAATTATTGCATTTGAAGTTTTGATGCATTACTGGTTTTTTACCATTCTGAGATTTAATTTATTTAGGGAAATGCAACAACTTAGGAATGCACCTTGGACCACTTCATGGGACCATTATGATGTAGTAGAGCAAATACTAGCAACTAAAGGCCCACAGCATGTAATCGGAGAGAGGCGTATCTACTTACAACATTGTTTTGAGTATAGGAATAATGATGCAAGGTTTATAAGGGGTGTGGTACGATTTCTACCATTTTATATAAAATATTAATTTACATAAATTAATACTTTAGAAATGTAAATCATAATATATATTTGTGTGGTTATTGTAGGTTGAAAGGATTGTGTACAACCAAATTAAAGGTTGACATTCCTACATGGAGGTGGACTTGAGTGTACATATGTCATGTGTATTGCGTTATTGTTTGGGGACGAAGTAAATAAGTAGGCCGGAATTAATTTTTTAAATGTGCTATGGACAAACGAACAACTCAGGGGAGCGTTGAAAACTGCACGAAAAAAAATGGTAACAGTGATTCAAAAGGGGAAACGCTGCAATAGTCGATTCTTTGAACATATCCCTTAATACTATGAAGAAAGCAACCACATGAACTGGCGGTGCTGGATTCTTAATGAAGAAGTAATTAGTTGCCATCGTTGTTGATGTGATTTCAATGTCATGGTGTTCAAAGGAAAGCTTTCAAGTACTTATATAAAATCATAAAATTCGTAGTAAAAGTCCTTGAATGGTTTATGTGAAATAAATATCATGTATTACACAATATTAAAAGTTATGGTATTATTAAAATAAATTAGGGTTTCAAAGACCACCATTTTATTTTGTCTTATTGTTTGTATTCGGTTGCCTTATTGTTTGCCTCTACTCTATTCAGTACTCATCAAAATGTCCATATGTCTTTACTATCCTCACTAAATACTGCAACCCCACGTATATTTAGAAATTCCAAAATTTTGTTTAAATTGTCAACTGATCAAATTTTGAGGTTTTGAAATACAAAACTTCAAATGGGTTACCGTTGCGTGGCAGTTGTCAATGACCATTTTGGTACTTTGGTAACATTACAAATACAACCCTTATAGATTTGGACTTCCCTACATTGCAATTCCTAATTTCCCGGGCCATCCATCTTCGTCGTTGAAGCGTCTTAGTCAAATACACCTTCTCAGTTATTGGAACCTGTAATCACGAAAGTAGAATGGCTTCCTTATCCATCATTCATGCAAGTCGAATAAATATTAGGCCAACGAATGTATGTATTACGGATGGACAATCATCTTCTTTGTTTGCAGGCGTGTTTTTCTTTTATTTTTTTCCATTCATTTCACAGTTTTTTTTAGTGATGTTGAACTTATATTACAGCCCATTAAATTCATTTTAATTTCTTCTTATGTTTTATTTTCGACTTCCAGATGCCATCTTCCACCCAACCACCCAACCACCTACAAGAGTTAAGGTATATGAATAAAACTTGTTGGTGTTGAGATGATCATAATATGACAGACATTAAAATCACAGGGAAAGAAGGTAAAAACAAAGGAAAGCTATATTATATATGTCCGAAGGAATGCCACGAACGTTGCAGCTTCTAGGAATGGCGTTACCCTATTTCAACCAACATTGTTCAAAGTGCAACTTCAACTAACCCGCATGAATCACCATTTTCTCAGTCCATGGGAGAAGACATAGATTTGGTGGATGATGTGGAGTATCTAAATTATGAACGTCCAATGTATACTTCAACTGTGAGACTTCTCGAAGCCAGCAATGCAAATGTGAAGCTGCTAGGAAAGTTTGGGTTTTTAATGACAGCCTTATATTTTTTGTTAATTGTAATAATTTTTCTTCACATGTGATGTGATATGAATTTCTGGGTTTTACACTCATGGATGATATGGATGTTCCCTATAAATTTGTAACGGCATTTTGTACAACTTTATCAAGCTATATGAATATTTGTCCTTGTCAAGTTTTACCAACAACAATTAAATAAAATTATTTCCATTATATCCGTCAGAGAAATAAACCCTTAAGTCAACAAAATTACAAATTGATTGGGATGTTTCTTAGAAATGATGAACGAGAATGTCTATATAACTATCACCATAAGTTATACATATGTATTTCAATAAGTGGATCCCTTAGAGAGGTATTGCTATTGTAATAGGAATATTGAATTTATCCTTATATTTTTATACATAAATGTCATAATAATTTATATTTAAAATCCCAATAAATTTGTAAGACAATATCCAAGGCCCAAATGAAAATCATCGAAATACAACTCTTAAGTGATACATTTATTTTTCCATATGTTATATTTATCCTTATATTTTTATAAATAATTCCTTAAAATTACTGTGGAAGGTTAACCATCACACTACATTGATGAATCAGTTGAGAGTTATATTTGAATATTTTCCTTTGGGGCTTGGACATTGTCTTACAAATTTATTAGGATTTTTAATATAAATTATTATGACATTTATGTATAAAAATATAAGGATAAACGAAATAGTTGTATTTGCATAAATTATCAGTTGAAGGTTATATTTGGATTGTTTTCCTTTGGGCCTTGAACATTGTCTTAAAAATTTATTCCGGTTTTTATGAGACACTTATGTTTTTTTAACTTGTAATTATTTTTCTTCACCAGTGACGTGATTATGAATTTCTGGGTTTTACCCGAATGGATGATGTGGATGTTCCCTATAACATATTTAGAACATTAATTTTAAGGATTAAACATTGAGAACATTATCTTAAACGAGATATAACATGCAAACTGTTTTGAAGCAATTAACAACTATAACATAAAGGATTGCAGGTTCAAATTTTAAACATGCTAAAAGTCATAGTTGTAAGCTTTCTTTATTGCTCTTATTGCTTCATGGATGAATAGATACATGAATATTCTAAATTTAAAATTTTTTTATCATCATATTAAAACAATCAAGTTCATACACCTAAATATTCACTTACTTAGTGTCAGAATAATAAAAATTAAATAAAAATCGATTTTGGTGACTAAATCACACTACAAAATTGCTATATCGTGACCTTAAAGTTGAGAAAATATGAATAGTCACCGATTTTAAAACTTAATTGCTAGGAAGTGACCATTTGATGTGATGAGTACCTTATTACATGGGTAGTTATATTACACATATAGGATTAACACATAAAGATAACACCCATAATCAAACACGGTCTGGAACACAACAGAAGCTAAAAAACAAAGAATTGGATAATTAAACACCAATAACAATTAACTGGCTTCCAAGTAAACCACAAAGAAGAGGTGAGAATTTTGAACCCTCATTCAAAAAATTTGTTAAGTACAAACATATCCTGGTATATAAAACAGATAAAAGACATGTTCCAAAACTATGAACGAAAGCAAGCATCCTTATATTTTTGTCCGTATACAACACAAATAAGTTCTAATGATACTGTGGAGCTAACCCCCAATATTCTGGGACTTTTTCAGGATAACTCCCTCATATTTGACTTCAAAACACTTCATGGCATCCTCCTTTCTGACCCTGTGCTAGATTCCAACGGTAGACTTGCACCAACGACAACGCCCAAACTCGATAACCTAGCAGTTCGACAACAACATAAAAATCCATACCGTACATGCCAGTTGAAGGATCGTACAATTTGAAGGTAGAATATCAAACAAGAATCAACGATACAAACAAGTTGGTACATCTCTATTTCATAAGAAATCATGGTTTTATATAGAATAAGGCAGGAAAAACTCAACCAACCCAACAATGAACTTGAAAAAGGTTAATATGTTTTAACTAAAAACAGCTTCTTATCTAACTGTTGACACTCCCAAAAAACATACCTTCCATTATTCAGTCACCTGAACCCCTTTTCCTAGAAGATGTCTAAT